GCTGGAGTCTGTCCCGTGTTTCAACCTTGTCTATCAGATAAAACACAAAGGCAGGATAAAATCAATCATTCCTCTCTGGACCCTGAGGCATACATGTTTGTTAACCACATATTTGCTTTATCTTATGTGTGACATCACTGAGCACCAGTCAGAACTGTGGAACATCACCTTTGCTTCACTACTCCCCTGCTTTCACTTTCTATGTAACAGAACCCATAACTACCGTGTCTCATGTAGCCTACCCAGGAACACATTCTCAGTCGTCTCTGAGGTCTGTGTTTCCAGGGTTATTAGTCTTCAAACTTGGCTCAGGAACTAACTTTGAATGTCTTTAAGCTATAGTGCCTGTTACATAACCATCTGATCTATAAGTCCTGTCCAAACTCACCTCTTACCCATTGCATGAATCCACTCTGAGAAGTGCAAAGCTGCTTCCAGTTCCAGTTACTGTTCTCAAATTGGCTCTCCAAGCTTCCCGTGAGTCCCATCAACTACAGCTGTCCCTCAGTATCTGTGGGGGGATGGTTTCAGGCCCCTCCGGCCCCAACATACCCAAATCTGCAGCTGCCTTGATATAAAATGTCATAGTATTTGTAAATAACATATGTATATCCTCCAGTAAACTTTAAATCATCTGTAGATTACTTATAATACCTAATACAATGTAAATGCTCTGTTAATCATTGTTACATTATTTTTACATTTTTTAAAAAATATTTTTGATCCACAGTTGGTTGAATAGTGGAGGCAGAACCCCGTGGATATGGGGGCTGAGAGCACCTTGTTTTTCTCAGGTCTGCCCCTGGCCCTGTTGTTTCTACTTTCTCCTGCTGATGCCTCATAGGTCTTACAGCTATTGGTGGGTAGTCCCAACTGCCAACTGTATTTTGTTAGACTTGGCTATAGGCCTTTGGTTTTGCTATTTGCCCCTTTCACCCCCCCCACCCCGGGCAACCTTCTTTTTTTTTTCAGAATACACATTCTTCTCAAGGTCCATTTTTAAAATTAGGGGAATTCAGGGAAAAAAAAATTGTGACTGCTGTTGCCATATTTCCACTATTTCTTCATATTTTATTTTTGGGTTAAAAATGTTAGAATGTTATTAAAATGCATGAGAGACTATTTTGCTGGATTTGAGATTTTTCATGTATTGCTTTAATTATAAGGAAGATTGTGTTAAAAAACAGAGGTTATTATAAGAGACAATGTTGGAGGCATTCTCTGATGATTTAAAGAAAGAAGTTGGTCTGGAACACATTATGTGTTATGAGAGAAAACATATGTGGCGTCTTAAAGGAATACACAAATTCCCAACAAGAGAGGATCTGACCTGACAAATTGTACCAGTCCATGGAGAAGGATGAGTGTTTCTCTCCTCTGATTGTGAGTATGTCATGTAGATTTCTGGAGAAATTCCCAAAAACTCAAGCCATGCCACCAAAAGTAAGTGTGTTAGGACCATTTCCTTGGTAAATAAATACAGATGTAGATTTTCTCAGTATAGGATCTAGCATAATGAAAAATAATTATCCTTATTTTAATATGAGAGTTCCCATCTGATAAATTCAGAGAGTTTCCCATATAATAGTTATATTATAAAAAGGAAACATTGCTCTGAAGTACATTGTCAGGTATTGTAATGCCTGTTATAGAATGGAGAAAATAAATTCCTCATTCATTCATACATTTATGCAATCAACTATGGTCATACCAATGTACTGGTTATGCTATACCAGGTCATGAAACTCAGTGTATAAAAATATTTATTTTAAAAAATAATTAAAATTAGTCTCAGTGTTAAGATCCTGTTCTTTTTAAAGAGAGAGAAAAAAAAAGTCAATTCCACATGTACTTCCATTACCCACAAAACTCTCCTGTCTCCAAATCATTTCTGGCTAACATGTAATCACTTCAAAATTATCTGTTTCCCCTTATTTTTCTGAGGATAACCTTAAAATTTCGGGTGGGGTTGAGTGGAGTGGGGAGGCAGGTGGCAAGAGGAAGTAGGCATCAGTGCAAACACCCCTGGGCGTTGGCCTCAATAGTTGGTGTCTATTTTTTCTCTGCTATCAGATCAGCGATCTGTTCATTCAGTGCTGTCCTTCCTCTTTCTGACCTGTAGGCTCATCAGCCCCCTACAGCTCTCTGTCAGCTCCCCTGAATGGTCTTTAATGCCATAAATACAAAACAAAACAAAACAAGTTTAGGGGCAGTCCTCTGTTCAAACAGTTCAGGCTAACACCCTACTTCCTTTTGGTTTACTGAAGGGAAACCCCAGACCTTGACTGCTTTTCTGGTCCCCACTGGGAACATAGCTCAGATGCCCTCAGTCCCTAGATCTTCAAACACATGTGGGAATTCTGTTATTTCTAGCTCCAGTTTCTTTCAAACGAATCCCTAGGACTGAGTGTGTATGGCTTGTGGGTGGGGGTTTATAGGCCTTTCTTTGGGACATACACCAATATCTCTTGGGAGAGAAAATTGGTTTCCCCATCTTTGTGGCAGATTGCATTATTGTTTACAATTAACCACACAACCCCCACTCCAAAAAAATTAGAATCCATGCCCATTGCCATGTGATTTGCCTATGAAACAAGTAGACTTCTCTGTTTACTTGGGGTTTGGCCATATGAAAGGCTTTGGCCAACGGGATTTGAGGAGACATGTCAAGAGACGTTGGAGAAGCAGCCTTAAGGGGCTTCACAAGTTTCTAACAGCTCTCTGGCTCTTCCCATCTCCCTTGAGAATTGCCAAGTCCCACATAGAGGGAGTTTCTTCAGCTTGGGGACTGGATTGAGAAGCCCCATGGAGCAGAACCTCAGCTAACCCAGCATGTAATACAAGTAAGAAGTAAACCTTTGTGGCCATCACACACTGATTTTTTTTTTTTTTTAACAGCAAAAGCGATGAATATATTGTTTGTGGCTTTTTTTTTTCTTTCAGCTCTTCAGGTGCTGAAACTCATGAAGTCCAGCTAATTCTAAACCACAGGCACTGACTTATGAGACTACTGTCACTGCCATGAGCTTCAAATGTCTATTATCCAAGCATCAGATAATTGCCTTCTTTTTTCTCCCTGAGACAGGGAAGGAAATGGCCTAGCTGTCTGAGAAGAATATGTGAGCAGGGCCAGAGAACATGAAATTGTTCAGTTTTTTTTATCCTGATGGACAAGAATGCATCAAACTATGAAACACAAAATTTGAAAACCCCAAGACATTTATACTTCCTGGACTCAAGGTATTTGTAGGGCAGAGGAAATATCTCTTAATTATAATGTAGGACGACAAATAGTGTCATCAAGGTGTGCAGAGAAAGTGCTGTGGGAGCTCATGGAAGAAGTGGCCTAGAAGGATAGGTGGGGTTTGGTAATGCAAGGGGAGGGGAGAGAAAGCTTTTTTTTTTTTTTTTTTGAGATGGAGTCTTGCTCTGTCACCCAGGCTGGAGTGCAGGGTCACAATCTCAGCTCACCCCGGTTCAAGCGATTCTTCTGCCTCAGCCTCCCAAGTAGCTGGTATTACAGGCGTGCGCCGCCATGTCTGGCTAATTTTTGTATTTTTAGTAGCGATGGGGTTTCACCATATTGACCAGGCTGGTCTAGAACTCCTGACCTGGTGATCCGCCTACCTTGGCCTCTGAAAGTACTGGGATTACAGGCGTAAGCCACCGCGCCAAGGTGACAGAAAGCATTTTGCACTCAAGATTGCAGATAGAGCTAAAATACAGAGGCAGGAAATTAAAAGGCATGGATGGGGCTGTGACTAAAATGAGGAGTCGTGGAAGGTCAGATCGAAGAGGCTCCCCAAGGCCTAGTTGTGGTCCTAAGGAGTGTGGACTTCGAAGTTCTAAGACTGGCTAAGGGCCATATAGAAAAGGGCCGGAGAGTGGATTTCAGCAGCATTTTTTATTTTAGAAACTTTAAAATAGTGACACATAAGGTAAATGTACACACACAGCTGGAAAAACAATTCAGATGATGGCTTACTCTCCTTAAAGGGCTGGCGTACGCTGTGTGTGTGTGTTCAAGTATCACTACACTACGAAGTCATTTATGGTTTGTTCTTGTTGGTATTGGACTGGTGCGCGTTTCAGCCAAAGAAACAGCTTTAATTGCCTGCAGTTGTTTCCCTGCTACGAGGCCACATCTTACTATGCTTAGATCTCCTTGGCATTTTAATTCGTGATTTATAAAATAGCCATAGGTAATGTGAATATCCTTAACGGCACTGAACTGAACTCTCAAAGTAGTCAATTGGTTACAGTTCGCCACAAAGATAACGCCCCGGCAGATCTTCATGCGGGTTAGTTTACACTCCAAGTTCAAGCCGGCATTTCCTCAGCGCGCCCCCCACGCTGGCTGGGAAGGGGTGACACCCCGCGCCGGCCACTCTTCCGGGTCCTCCCTGCCCTGCGGATGGGCCTCGGGGGGGCAGGAGGGACCTCCATCCCCGCTCACTGTGGCCTGGGCAGGGAGGGCGTGTGGGTGGTGGCGGCGTTTCGTGTGAGGGCGGCCACCGGGCGGGCGGCCACGGGGCGGGCGGCCACGCTCTTCTCCCTCCATCCTGCGGCGGAAGCGCGGACACAGCGGCTTCCAGGAGTCACTCCGCCGCCGTGACCGCCAACCGCAGGCTGAGGGACGGATCCAGTGAGAGCGCTCGGATCTCGGCGACGGGAGGTGGAGGCTGCAAAGGCTCTGCCCAGGCTCAGCCGTGCGGGGCGTCCGCGGAAGGCTCTCGGGGTCCGCCTGCTGAGACGGGCGGGGGAGCCCCCCGCCTCCCACTCGTGCCCGCGCGCCCCGCGCCCGCCCAGTCCCGCGCCCCGCGCCCCGCGCCCCTGCGCCCGCGGCCGTGGCGGGGGAGCACGCCCCGCCCTCCGGGGACGCGGGGCCGGCCCCGCCCGGCGCATGCGCAGTGGCGGCGCCGGGCCGGCGCGCAGTCTCCTCCTCCGCCGCCCGGAGCCGCAGTCACTTCCTGCAGCTGTTTCCCTGCGGGTCGCGGCGGCTGAGTTTTGACAGTCAGCCTCGGGCTGCGGCGGGGGCGCGGCAGCGGCGGCGGCGGGCGAAGTGGCTCCGAGGGGAGGCGGGGGCGAGCCGGGGCCGAGCCGGGCGCGCGGGGGCTCCGGTGAGTGCGGGCGACGCGAGCGCGGGGTTTCGGGGCCGGCGGGTCCCCCGCGGCGGCGTCTCCCCGGCTCCCCACGTGACGCGCCGGCGCCGTCTGCGGACGGGGGCGCCGGGTTCGGGCGTTTCACGTGGACCGGCAGGACCTCCGTGCGCGCCGCCGCCTCGGCCCGTGGCAGCCGCGGGATTCCGCCTTCGCGGCGGCGTCCTGACCGCGCTGAGGCGAGAGCGGGGTCGGCGTGTCGCCGGCGCGCCCGGCGGTGTGAGGGGACGTGGCTCCGGGGCCGGCGCCACCCGAGGCCGCGCCGCCCGAGGCCTCCCCGCAGCGCCCTGTGGAGCCCGCCCCGCGCGGCCGCGGCCTCGGGGGCTCTGTTCGTCCCGCGCTCCGCTGCGCTCCGGGGACCTCCGGGCGGGGCCCGCCGCCTCGGCCCCGCGTCCACGGCTCCGGCTGCAGAGCCCCGTTTGCTGGGGCGCCGCTGACCCGTTCCTTCATTCCAGTCTCATGCCTCAGTTTCTCCAAATGAGGAGGACGCTGTCCGGAATGCGGAGAGCAGGCCCCCGGCCAGGCGTGACAACTAAGTACGCCGCGGCCGTTCCTTTAAACGGGTTCATTGTGAGGCGTTTTCTTTCGTGTCGTCTCAGCTCCTTTCCAGACCCGGACGGCAGCCGGCCTGAACCCTGCGTCTGTGCCGCTGCGAGCATGTCCGCCCCCAGTTCGCCCGTTTTACACCGTGCAGCAGCCGCGCAGATCTGAGTGGCGTGCTTCCATCATTCGTGCATTCACTGAAGGCTTGCTTTTATCCAGGATTTATATTTTATGCTAATTTTTGTTTGCAGGTGTACTCATTTGATGTAATTGTCATATATAGATCTGTTTTGAGGAGTTGACATTGTGTTGATTGTTAAATGTGACAAGAAGCAAATTTGGAATATCAAGCTACTCTTTAAAAATTATAAAGATAAAATGCGCTAATGGGTAAATCTGTGTTTGGCAAGAATGTTTTCTTTAAATCAGGTAACTTTATCACCTCTGGTAGGAGGCCTTTTGTACTTCCGTGCTTTGAGAAGAACCTTTATTTTGAGGGAAACCTGTGGATAACACTGGGGGAGACACATGCTAGAATTTCCTACAGTGAAAGTGAGCTTTCATAAAACAAGTCCAGACATGCCTTGGCGATTGGTAGCATTTGATTTTCTGTTTATATTGCTGATTTCCTTTACCCAGATTTTTTTAAACACCTCCTCTCCACCTTCTCAGTAATGAACTAGCAGCATGTTTATGGCAGTGTGACTCGTACAGGTTGTTTGTGTAGCTTTTTAACATTATGAATTATTATTAGATAAACTTTTTGAAAACCTGTTCTTTGTCTACTTAGTTCTCTTGTCTAAAATGACCATATCTGTCTTTGCTTTCTGGATATCTTTGCTTAATTCAATTAAGAGAAATAATGCCATACAGAGAACCTGACTTTTTAAATGTTCAAACTCTATATTGCTCTTATGTTCCCAGACATATGGGCAGTACCCTTCTGCTTAAAAAATAAATAGTATTATCATTTTTCTAAATTTTGTGATTAATGAGAAGTATTGTTAGATTCTGTGACTAGTAATTATGCACTTTCCCTTAACTGCATTATTTTCCCATCACACTGATTTCCTTTGTTGCCTCCCCACCCCGAATTTCGTATGAAAGTTGTTGCTTGATATACAGGTGCTGTGTAGTTATCAAATGTGGTAGAATAGGCTTTAACTTTTCAAAATTTACTTTATTCCTTTTAGTGATTCTATTACTGCTATAATGTACACATTTCCATTGCAGATAGAAAATTTCAGCAGCTTAAAATAGCCATATTGTATTGACCAAGAGAAGAGGTTTTAATAATACTGTATTGAGAGAGTGGAAGGAATTGTGGATTTTGAAATAAGGGTCCTAATTTGGGTTAATTAGAATCTTGGGAACACAAAGTGTGTACTGTGGTTCATTTTGAGACACTCGGGGTTAGACAATGCCATCTGGGTGGGAGGCAGGAGAAATTATGGGTAAAGATTGAAGAGGGAGAGGAACATTTTGGGTCTTTTCTGAGGGAATTAGAATAGAGACTATCAGTTATTAAGAAGGTGGAGGGAAAGAAATAGCCTGAAGACTGAGGAACTGGAGTTATACTGGGGCTTATGGTAGTGCGATCCATTACTCCACTGGCCATTTCCTTGATAATCTTATTTTGTGTAGGTAATTTACCTAGAGAAGGAAGGAAAATATTTGGATTTTATAGGGGACTCATGAATATAATCTAAGGCTATATGAGGTAGGACCATAAACTCAAGAACCTTCAGAGAACAGGCAAGTAACAAGTACAGGCCACAGCTGAGTGGAGACTGAGGTATTCAGGAGAAGACAGGTCTGGCTACAAGGCAAAATGCCTCTGAACACTAGCTAATTGTGACCCACATAGGAATGTGGGTCAAGTGATGCCAGATCATCCTTTTATCAAGAGAAGCCACGAATCTCTTGATTCTTATATGTTAACAACTAATACAACTTAAAAAATGAAAACAAAACTGTATATTCCGAACAGCACATATGTGGCTGTATGTGCCCACAGCTGTTTGCCACCTCTACTTTACATTTGCTCAACTACTTAAATATCACTAGTTGATCAGAAGGAACACATTTTATTTATTTCTGTCATACTTTAGGCTATTCCTAGAGTTCTTTGAAATTTTAGCTAACTCTATGTGAGTGTTTTAAGGATTCTGTGAGGTGATATTCTTTTATTCACTCTTCAATATTGGTTGGTTGGAAGAGATGTTTGCTAAGATTTTTAGCTGGTGGTGTTTTTTTGAGACAGAGTCTTGCTCTGTCTCCCTGGCTGGAGCATAGTGTCACGATCTTGGCTCAGTGCAGCCTCCGCCTCCCGGGTTCTAGAGATTCTCCTGCCTCAGCCTTCCAAGTAGCTGGATTATAGGTGCCCACCACCATGCCTGGCTAATTTTTGTATTTTTAGTAGAGATGGGGTTTTACTGTGTTGTCCAGGCTGGTCTTGAACTCCTGACTTCAGGTGATCCACCTGCCTCGGCCTCCCAAAGTGCTGGGATTACAGTTGTGAGCCACCGTGCCCGGCAGGTTGGTGGTATTTTTGTCTGTGATTATCATTAAGAGTGTTTAAGTAAGTGTGCCTGAGGGAAGGGGTCTGGACTAGGTGACCTTTGATGTCCATTTCAGCCATGTGACTTTTGGATTTAATTAGCTGTGGATGCAATGCTATTAATGTTCATGGGCCAGAGGGATAGCACTTGGAACTGTGCCAAGCAAAATGAAGCCATTTTCAGTGGAAGAGCACTGTGTCAATATGAATTAACGGGCAGGGGAGGTCTGCTAGGTGAGGAAAGAAGTTCCAAAGCTGGGTTTGGACAAGTGCAGGAAAGGGTCCGATTATATTGTCATTTACATGTTACATTGCTGAAGTCTCATTTTTAAGTGAGGTTTTGTTTTTGTTGTTTTGCTGTTGATTCAGATTTGAAGACCTTTCTTCTCATCACCTGCTGGATTATGCCCAAGGCTTTCCCACCCAATGATCCTCCTGCAGCACACTGTGCTTCTTCCACCTAAGCAGCCCGCATCCTCTCCTCCTATGTCAGTGGCCACCAGGCCTGCAGGAACCTTGCAGCTTCCACCACAGAAGCCATCTGGGCAGGAGGCTTCCTTGCCTCTTGCAGGGGAAGAAGAGTTCTCTAAGGGAGGGGAGCAAGACTGTGCCCTGGAGGAGCTATGTAAGCCCCTGTACTGCAGACTCTGCAATGTCACCTTGAACTCTGCACAGCAAGCCCAGGCTCATTATCAGGTAAAGGGAGAAAAGAAAACCAGGCATTTAGCAGGGTGAACATTTCAGGGCCCTTCCCATTTAGCAGTTGTCTCTCCAGATATGACTGTGCCTGGGAATTTCGGGATGGCTTAGAGAACAACTAAGTATGAATTTGTTTTATTAAAAACCTTATGTGTTTACTCTTAAAAATAAGCATCACTTTTTGTAGAATGGGTCTCAACCTCCTACACTAAGCTGCATGGCATTTGATAGCTTACCAGGCTTTGTAGGTAAATGTAAATTATCTATACTGGCATTTAAACCTGTAGTCTTAAGAAGAACAAGTATATAAAACATAATGTACAGCCTGGGTGACAGAGCGAGACTTTGTCTCAGACAAACAGACAAACCCGTGATGTACCAAACTTAATTCCATGAAAAATTGTCTAGAAGCGAATATATTTTGTGTCATTTCAAAGACCTCTGTGTACGACTCTTCTGCTTTCCATTTTTGACTTCTGTCTCTTATTTTATCACTGGTAAGGAAAACACAGGTATCTTTTTGTAGTGAGAATAAAATGACTTTGGAGTATTGAGCCCTATCCTTCATTCATAATAAGCATACTCTGATTTATTTTAGTCCATCAGTGTGAACTGATACTGTTTTTTAAGATTTAAAGTTTTTACCTCCATGTTGAATAGCCAGTGGAAAGGACCATTTTAAAGGGTAATATTAGCTGGGCATGGTGGCTCACACCTGTGATCCAAGCACTTTGGAGGCCAAGGTGGGCGGGTCTCCTCATGTTGGGAGCTCAAGACCAGCCTGACCAACATGCTGAAACCCCGTCTTAAAAAAAACAAAAAATAGGCCGGGCGCGGTGGCTCAAGCCTGTAATCCCAGCACTTTGGGAGGCCGAGGAGGGTGGATCACGAGGTCAAGAGATCGAGACCATCCTGGTCAACATGGTGAAACCCCGTCTCTACTAAAAATACAAAAAATTAGCTGGGCATGGTGGCACGTGCCTGTAATCCCAGCTACTCAGGAGGCTGAGGCAGGAGAATTGCCTGAACCTGGGAGGCGGAGGTTGCGGTGAGCCGAGATCGCGCCATTGCACTCCAGCCTGGGTAACAAGAGCGAAACTCCGTCTCAAAAAAAAAATAAATAAATAAATAAATAAATGGTAATATTACCTAAGAACAAATGGAAAATTAAACTTTGGTTAGAAAGAGAGAGTACAGTATTTATTTTTATTCTAGATATTTGTCTGTATAAAGTTACATAATTTCCTTTTTCGGAGAAAAGAGACCTGGGAAATCAAGGACAAAACCCTCTGAATGGTGTCTTCCTAGGTCATCATTGATTTGATATTTATTATCTGCATGAAAATCTCTAGTAATAAGAGTGTGGTAGAAGATTATTACACAGGTATTTCTTCTGTTGTGCCACTATTACTTTCTCCAACCTAAAGTTTTTGTTTACTATGGGTATGAAGTCTTTTCTGTTTTGTTTTGTTTTGATCCCAAAGACTGATTATCGTGTTGCTGTTGTCTGTCAGAAGTATTTTGATGGTCAGTTGTTGTTTTCTGGTATTTAGGGGAAGACATAATGTGTTGCTTTGCTTAAGTTCCCATTTTTTGGGTTTGCTTTACCTGCAGGTGCAAAAGCTGAGTTAATTATATCTCGCAGATCTTGACATGTGTCATCATTGGTTCCTAAAGGCCTCTTCGTTTATTCCTGTGGAATGTTCAGTATTATAGCCTAAGACTCACTTTGAAGAAAGAAGCCAGGGTTCTAAAGTTTTAATTATTAGCTGTATAAAGCCCCTAACAAATCTTTAACTTGGGTGCAGACCCACTTGTATGCTATACACATGTGTAATTGCCTTTATTTGTTTATTTTTTTGAGACTGAGTCTCCCTCTGTTGCCCAGGCTAGAGAGCAGTGGTATGATTTTGGCTCACTGCAGACTCTGCCTCCTGGGTTCAGGCTATTCTCATGCCTCAGCCTCTCGAGTAGCTGGGATTACAGGCGCTCACCAGCATACCCAGCTAATTTTTGTATTTTTTGGTAGAGATGGAGGTTCGCCATCTTGGCAAGATTGTCTTTCAAAGTGCTAGGGATATAGGCATGAGCTTCCGTGCCCAGCCTATAATTCTCTTTTAGAAGAATTGTTTACTTTTATGAGGGAAAACTCTTGGGCAGTGTGTCATTTTAACATGTGCATGGATTATACCTATGCCTTATTTCTTTTGTCTCCTAATATAATTTTGTGATTTCATAGACTTTGAAGGGTGCTACTGATGATACATAGAGAAAAGTCAGTTTGACGCAAGGTCATTGGATTATAAGGCTAACACTAGATAAGCAGAATGAATATTTATTTGTTTTTTTCTTTTTTGGGGATGGAATTTCACTCTTGTTGCTCAGGCTGGATTGCAATGCTATGGTCTCGGTTCGCTGCAACCTCTGTCTCCCTGCAACCTCTGTCTCCCTGGTTCAAGCGATTCTCCTGCCTCAGCCTCCTGAGTAGTTGGGATTATAGGTATGCGCCACCATGCCCAGCTAATTTTGTATTTTTAGTAGAGACGGGGTTTCACCATGTTGGTCAGGCTGGTCATGAACTCTCGACCCCAGGTGATCTGTCCACCTCGCCCTTTCAAAGTGCTGGGATTACAGGTGTGAGTCACTGTGCCCAGCCTGTTTTTTTCTTTTATTTTACATTTTTGTGTATGTTTGTTCTAAACTTTTTAGTTGACAAGATTAGTAATTCTGCTTAATTTCAGTTTCCACAATGGTACAGTGAATAAATTAGAAAATAAAAGATAAATAAAATTTAGGTAAATTTCTCAAAAATCAGAATTTTTTTTTTTTTTTGGATCAGTCTCATTCTGTTGCTAGGCTGGTGTGCAGTGGTGCGATCTCAGCTTACTACAACCTCCTGCCTCCTGGGTTTAAGTGACTCTCCTGCCTCAGTCTCCTAAGTAGCTGGGACTATGATGTGTGCCACAACGCCCGGCTAATTTTTTGTTTTTTTAGTAGAGACAGGGTTTCACCATGTTGGCCAGATGGTCTCGATCTCTTGACCTTGTAATCTGCCTGCCTCGGCCTCCCAGAGTTTTGGGATTACAGGCGTGAGCCACTGTACCCAGCCAAAAATCAGAATTTTTCAGTGGATAGGTTGAAGAAGAACAGGATGTAACGGGAAAATTCGAGCAGCTAAAAACCAGGGTAAAGATGGGAAAGAAAAGAGTCAGGTGAGTAATCAGAAAGTAGAACCTTATAGAAAATGAAAAGTTTGGGTATAATAAAATATATTGCTAAGACCGTAGAAGCAAAAATTTGAATGAGACCAATGTTATTGGTAACTCTTAAAGAGAGAAGGTTTTAACAGAGAACTAAGGCAAAGCAGTTCATGTGTAAAAATACAGAGCAATTACATTAGGGTAACATAGAAGAAAGCTAATCTTAGAAGTGAGATTTGGATTTCAATAAAATAGAAATGATCAAGATAAGAATGTATAGTCCAAAGTGTAGGTCAGAATAATAAACAGAGCGTGAACATAACCTAGGAGTGGGTGAGCCGCCGCAGAAGGAAAGCATAGAAACATTAGCCGAAAAGGTGCATAAGAGGGTGTATGTGAATAAGCAGTAATAAAAGAAAGACTTGTAGAGACAAGGTTAACACCAGGCCAGGTGTGGTGGCTCACACTAATCTCAGCACTTTGGGAGCCTGAGGCGGGAAGATTGCTTGCATTCAGGAGTTCAAGACCAGCCTGGGCAGCATAAGACCCCTGTCTCTACAAAAATACAAGGAAATTAGCTGAGCATAGTGGCAGACACTTGTGGTCTCAGCTACTCATGAGGCTGAGATGGGAGGAACACTTGAGCCTGGGAGATGGAGGCAGAGAGCTATAGTAATGATCACGTCACTGCGCTGCAGCCTGGGCCACAGAGCAAAACCTTGTCTCAAAACAAAGGCAACAACAACAACAAAAACACACACAAAAAGAGACAGGTAAGACCAATGAGTAAGGCCTACCAAGTACAGGAGTAAGTAGAATCCAGTGATTGTAGACTAATAAAGTGGTTTAGGATTAAATGAGATGATGGATGTAAAATTTTATTTCAAGGCTAAAAACTTGCTTTCTAACTTTAAATGCAGGGCATTACTAAGCTGTGCATTCATTATATCAATTATGTGTGAGATAAAATGGGTCACGGATAGCCTGTTTATAAGCTAGAAACGCATTTGTGCGAAGTGGTAAATCACTGTGATTGCATTACTCAAAACTCTGTAGTTAATTGATGCCATTGTTGAAATCGTGGCGCTTCAAATTGCCTCGGGAATTGTAAACAATGGTGGTTACACTAGAGCCGGACTGTCTCATGTTCCAGTAATCCAGGACACATAGTGGAAACTCCCCAATAAATCCTTCCCTTTAAGCTCACTAGCGTTTTTTCCTGACATCCCAGTGTTCCCAAGCTGGGGCTACCTTAGCAGTGATCCATGTCTATCTGTAGTCATCACAGATTTAGTTTTATTCCCAGGTCTTTTAAAAACTGGTCAGTTGGCTTCAAAACATCAGCTGTTGTTTTATTTTTAATGAAGTCATCGAATTTTATAGTCTTAAAATTAGGGCTTTGAGTATAACTTGTTTTAAAATGCAATCTTTGGAGGAGAAACATACTCTCATTTTATTAAAGTCTATCTGTGGCTTCAGGTTATTTAGGGCAAGGCTGTCACAGAGTAACATACCACTGTTTCCTCAGCATAAATGCCCAGAGGAGAAATTGCTGTAACATGGAAGGTTACTAACGGAAATAAACAAAAAAAAAAAAGCAAAAATCATGGGTGAATTTTGCTAAGGCATCCACAGTATAAAGTCACCAATTTATTTGCTAATTTGCGTATACATTTGATGTACTTACTCAAAGTATAGTTATAAAATTTGTCATAAATATGGCTTTCTATTTGTAATATTTAGTAGCCAAAATAACAACCTACCATGTTAATTAGATTGATTAGTGAAAGAACAAAG